CAGGAATGCCTCTGTCCTGACTGGGCTGTGAGCTGCCTTGGACCTGCCCTCTGGACGTCACAGATTTTTCATGCCTACCTTTCAAAGGCACACAAGCTTTCACAGAAAAAAAGCTGCTTGTGACACCCCAGTGTTCACTTCTTCCTTCCCTGCAGCCTGCTCTAAGCAGTGATATGGCTGTGCTGGGAGGTACTGTTGCAACATCTGTGTTTTAGACAGACAACCATAATTGCTCCTTAGGACTGTGCTAGATGGAAGGGCACTGGTTATACTCGGCCTACAAGAGGATTTTCTGAACAGAATATGAGGAGGGTTTTTTCATTCCCTGGCCCACGTACAGCTTTTAATAGCAGTGTTAAGTGTTTTGTGCCTTAGAATTAAATTAAAAGCCACTTAAGGTGTAGTTTTACATACTAGGATTTTAAACAGATGGTATTGCTGAGTGATAGGGTCACATTTAACTATAAAATTCTAATCTGTGTGTTCTAGTTTACCTTGCAATTAATCAGTTACATTAGAGAATAAAGATTCTGTCCAACCAGGTACAAGGACTACATCTCTATCCATTTGCTAATTTTTTGACCATCAGCCTTTCTGAACGTTTGCAACAATGTTCAGAGTAGTTGAAAGCAGCTATTAGATTGGGGTAAAAAACACACTGCCGTTTGCATAGACTTTGTATGGCATGGTCTCTCCTGGAAGGAGGAGAACTAGGTTGATCTCCCACACAGGCCTGTTCCCTCTGTGCTGTAATTCTGCTGCCAGTAGGTTCATGACAAAGGATGACCAACAAATATGTGGAACTATCGTGCACGTCATCTACATCCCCTCCTTTTTATGCAGCTGGGTGATAGCTTTGCATTGGACATCCCTTTTATATTGTGTCTTCTCTTCCATGTCTACTGGTAATGTAGTCTACTCTGAATGTCTGAGTCCTTACAGACAAACTTGAATTATTCACACACAGAAAAAACTTGCCACCAACATATTTTTCTTTGTTCCTTTATGTGGCAGAAAGCTTCCTCGATAAGGGCAGGTCTAGAAAATGTTCCAAGTATTCCATTTTGGCTAAGTGTCATTTTTGAAGTCTGATACTTCATGAGCTATTTGCATGAAAAACACAGCTGGGAATTCCAGAGGACAAGAAATTTTGTACATCTGGCCTTGGCTTCTGCTTTTTGTGCTGGGGTGTAAATTCACTGTGGAACTAATTCTCAATTATGTCCATGAACAAGAGAAGAGAATCAGGTTTTTAAGATTTTAGTGTTGGTAGATACTGAAATATCAAGTGTTAAAAATCCCATTTCTGTGTTTCTAGTGAATCTACGTTTTGTACTTCTGAAGGCATTTCTTAAAAATCACTAGGCTGTTTCTTTTCTACCTTTCCATCTAGACTCAGAGGACTGGAGAAAAACAGATTTCCAAACAGAGCACTGCAAAAACGTACCAATGCTAAATTTAAAAAATACTTCTACCACTGTTTTTCCATTACATACAATATAATCCAAAGAGTAGAGGGTCTAATGTAATATAAGTTTCTGCTGACACTTGTTCAGGGGGAGAGTAACTGTCTTGTGGCATTGACACTCACAGGGAGTATGTTCATCCCCAAAGAATTTCAGTAAATCTTTCCAATCATCCTGTACTCTCTGATGCAGTTAGAGTATCTATTGTAGACATTTGTTTCTGGCAATTTGCAGCCAAGACTGACTGTGAATCCCTGCTGTTGTTCACATGGGTCCGTGTTTGCACTCTCTATCTGCTGCAGTATAGTTTCAACTTATTTTTCCCATGCTGGGTTTTTTTCCTAGGGTTTTGTCAGGAGAAGTATATAAGTGACATCGTCATGACTGTGCCTTGGTGGGTGCTCAATCCACAGCATCAAGCTTTCCAGTGGCTGATTAGAAAATCTGGGGTAATTCCAGCCAAGTTTGGTGTGTTTTCCTGGTGATTAATGTTATTGTGCAGACAGCAGAAGACCTGTGGAATGATTGAAGGCCACTTAGGAAGAGATATTACAGGTCACGGAGCAATGAGTCTATGGGCTAATGTAGAGAGTTTTTGCTTAAAGCCCTTCTGCCTTTTTTAGAGAGATTTTGTATTAATATCATGGTGAGTTTCAAAGTAGTAAAACCCTAAAAGTATTATTGCCATACTCGCTTGTAAAGCTGAGAGCTGGGAAAGATGTTGTAACCTTAACCATGAATTTATCTGATTTTGTGGGTGAAAGCAGTGACCCAGGTAGGATTCATCCATTGTATGAGGTGATTCTCTTGATGTCGTTTTTACCTCAGAGCTGGTAAATAGTTTCTGAAACTCTGACAATTTTATGCTTTTGCCAATCTTTAAATCAAAAATGGCTGAATCGATTTCAGGATTTTGTAAGAAAAAAAATTGCACCCAGGCTGACATCGTGTGGACTGAATTTCTCCCAAAGCATTTTCAAACCTGTGAGTTATGGACCTCTATAATGAAAACTCTGACATATCTTGAACTATAGTAGAACACAGGGTACCTCTACAATGTACAGAAACATTCCTTCCGTTAGTGCTTCATTACTCTTTTATACAAAATATCACAGCAAATGATTTTTTCATTCAAAATTTTAATTCTTTTTGGTTCCTTTTAAGTCCATATTCTACAACTTTGCTCAGATAATACGTTCCAGGAGAAAATGTTAAGTCACTTTATAAGATGTGTAACATTTTCCTATTTAGAAGTGGAGAAACTGCTTCACAGAGAAGTGAAGGGTTCTGACATCACTGCCAATATTGTTTTACACTGTCTCATTTCTATAATAATAAATGAATATGCCCTTTTATTGAACGTAGTGCCTTGGGAACAACTGAGAGATGAGAGTGAATCTGTGCTAACTTGTGGTGGCTGATCATTATTGAGAATTATAAGACACGTCTCAGTGGACGCAGGTGTTTTTATTGTGGCAGTCCTGGGGTCTCCTGGGGATTGTGGCCCTATCAGATGGAGAACTGTTAAGATGCAGACTGCGTTTCTTAAGGAGTTTTTATACTGATGGTAACAGAAAAGTAGTTGGTGTTCTCATCTGCCTCCTTGTCCTGGTTTAAGCTTCAGATAGTTAATTTTCTTCCTAGCAGCTGGTGTGGTGCTGTGGTTCGGATTTAGCGTGAAAATAATGTTGATAACACATGGATGTTGTAGTTGTTGCTAAGTAGTGATTATCCTAAGTCAAGGATTTCTCAGTTTCCCATGCTCTGCCAGTAAGCTGGAGCACAAGAAACTGGGAGGGAGCATGGCCAGGACAGCTGACCTGGACTAGCCAGAGGGATATTCCATACCACGGAACATCATGCTGGGTATCTAAACTGGGGAGAGTTGGCTGGGAGGGGCTGAGTGCTGCTCAGAGCATCACTTTTCTTTTCTTGGGTTTTATTTCTCCTTTTTTTGTTGTTATATTCCTTTTCATTACTATTATTTTTACTGTTGCTACTCTTATGATTATATTTTATTCCATTTTAGTTATTAAACTGTTCTTATCTCAACCTATGGGTTTTACATTTTTTTCCCAAGTCTCCTCCCCATCCCACTGGGAGGGAGGAGTTGTGAGTGAGTGGCTGTGTGGTGCTTAGTTGCTGGCTGGGGTTAAACCATGACTCTCCTGAAACACACATATTCATGTGTGAGTCTGTCAACAAACATAATCCTTCTCTGAAGTCTGCCTACACTGTTAACCAAAAAACAGCTACAAGAAAGAAGCCTCTGAATGAACTTGATTTTATGCAGAGCAGCTCATAGTGGACTCTCTTGCCCCTCAAAGGATTCTTTTATCCTTACTACTGCCCGTAGTTCTTTCTGCCCCATGGGAATCCTTTTGTACTCTGATTCTTGAGACTGATATGTTTCCTCTGATCTGACATCAGAGTGTTTCAGAAAAAATAATTTCCTTTTCCTTCAAGAGCCTGAAACTTGGAATCTACTACAGATCTTGCAGAAGCTAAAAATATTGAAGTCTATCACTGAGTGTTCTCTTCTGAGACTCATTTCCAAGATTATAGCTAAATAAATGAAATTTGTTTTGAGTAACATTGACCTAGAATTGCTTGGCAGCACACGTTAGAAGTCATGCAGAAGTCCCCAGGCTGTTCACCATGATACCCTACAGCCGTTCACCCTTCAATCCTCTTCCTTTGGAAAAAACTCCCCACATGAGCAGCACTCTCTTAAAATATACTCCTGATTTCAGTAGATCTAGCCCTTTGAGCTGGTTTCCTAAATGCTGGCAGCAGATCCTAGGAACATTGCAAGGTATTATTCTAAGTAAATCAAGGTCCCAATCTACTTCTCTTAATATCTTTTGCTGAATCACAGAACTATGCTTGTGGTTGATTTTCTTGCTGCCTCTCTGTCACTACCTCTCCACAGAAAATTGGTCTAAAAGCAGTTAATTTGGGCTCTCAATGCTACCACTCTGCCCAGGGTTCCCCCCATCTCCCAATACAAGTAGTGACCACCTGCTTTCTGGATGGCCTCTGAGCTTGAGAACAACCAAGATGCCAGGTTGGCATCTGCCATTTACTCATAGGCTGCACCCATCATTCCTACCAAGGAGAGCATTCACTGCCAGAAAGGTGTCTCCTTAGATAGCTTTCCAGGGGCTTTGCTGCAGTCCTGGGCATGTACAAGCTTTTGCTGTTTCTCAGTCAGTAAAAGATCCTTTATATTTCCACCTTTGCAGCCAGCTGGTAAATGTGGAGCTATAAAACATGGGGGGTTTTGGACACCAGTCAAGCTTGAGTCAATGTCAATTGTTCACAGCCCTGTGGGCCTCTGGGTCTAAACCATGTGGTCCTTAATGTGTATTAATGACCTGCCTGCTGCTGCATAACAATTGAAACCTGTGGTCTTTTAATTTTTTTTTTTAATATGCAAGAACTATTTTTAAAAGCTCTTATTGTTCCTAGAATACAAAAAAAAATGACTAAGTCACTACTGGAGATTGTTTGCAGCTTCCAAAGTGCTGTGGATTGTTGCTACACAATTACTGCAGCAGTTTCAGGTGATGCTGTTAAGACGAAGGAGTCTTGGGAAAATAAGCATTATAAGTATTTATTGTAGACTTTCTACAGTATTAATGAAAAAACTCTTTTAATAAAAAGTGTTCTCTGTTTCTTTGATTCAAATCAGCTCTATCTTCCTTTCTTTGTTCATGTAAGGTGTTTTATAAAATGCTTTTTATTGTGTCTTTTGTTCTCTGCATCCAGTATAGGGCTGTTCTATTTTACAATGCAGACCTGACTCAACTTGCTTAAGTGTCTGCAGCCATGGACTTTGCTAAAATTTATGGAGTTCACTTGGGACTGAGAATTTTCAAAGGCCCATAATCTTCACTGACAGCTATTTTATGTGTTGTTTGCTATGTAGCAGTGTCCCTGATAGCCAACAAGACTGAAAGGCCCCATCAAGACCTGTGCAACCACATCCCTCCATGAAAGAGACTTCTTTTCTCAGTGCAATGCAGAACTTATTTCTTTGGCCTAATTTTCCTTGTGTCATTTCTTCACCAACAAACATAAATATGCAGCACATCAAGTCCTGGGTGAGCGAAGAACTAAAACATCTATAAATAAATCAGGCTGGCTTCTCCTGAAGGGGAAAAAAAAAAAAAAATAACCAAGAGTGAATGAAACTTAATTTTCTATTTGAAGTACTTGGGGTGTGCTAGATTCTTTGGGCTACGTTGTCTATGGAGTGCTTTGACAGTGTCTGTGGCTGCAACTAGTATACAGAACTCGTAAGGGATCTGTTTAAAAAAGATTAAAGGAAATAGCTCTTTACACAGTGGGTTGTGAGCTTCTGGAATTTGTTGCCACAGCAGTCTGCAGGAGCAGATAGTGTCAGTAGGTTAAAAAAGGCTTAGGCATCTTCATGGATATTAAGTCTGTAAATAGACACTGAAGGAAATAGCTGCCTGTGTACCCTCTAGTATCCTTCAGCCTGTGGTTGTGGATGCCAGGGTAGGGTGGGGGAATTGGACTACAGGTACTGCCCTTTGTGATAACATCAGAGTAAATGTGCACAGTGCTAGGGAGTTATATCAGGGGGTCTTGCCTAAGATCCTCTGTGTTTCAGCACTTGTGAATCTCCAAAGTGAAACCCAGCCACCTCCTACCTTTCTTCTGCCTCCTTCCTCCTTCTCCACACTCCTACTGTGGCTCCTAGGCACACAACCCTCCCTCCAGCTACCATCTTCCAGGGTCCCAGGTCAGCCTCTGGCCTTTCTCTCATCCCTTGTTGACTTCCTTTTAAGTCTTTCTTTATCTTCATTTTCTCTCCAGAAAGCTATATGGGAAGTGATGCTCTCAATTCTCATCACCTTTTTGTCCCTTCTAACACTGCTGTGGTTGAGGGACTGTGTTGGGCAACGCGTTGTGATTAGTTAATACAAAGGATTGCACATGGCAAAGTCTGGTCTAAGTGCAGAGCTGCAGATGAGGTTAAACCACTTTTTTTCTTTGACTTTGTTCTTGTTTCTCTGTCTTCATTTCTGTGGCATTTTGCCTCCATTGAGACTTACTTAGTATGCATCTGTTCCTGCGAGTTATTATCAAGGCTATTTTTCATTTTGTTATATTACTACTTGATACTTTTGTATTGTGGCAGGGAGATTGAACAGGGTTTTAGTGCTCTCATGGTGTTTTTCTGGAATAGATCTTATTAGAGGATCCCAGTGAAGTCCCAACAGGTACAAAGAAACTCGTCTAACTTGGCTGTGTTTTTGCTTTACAAATAGCTAAAAATTAATAACAACTGGGCAATATGTATTTAAAAACATCGATCCTTCCACTGTTGTGATGGCAAACATTGAAAAAGAGGTTATATATATATATATATATAATTCTTCATATATATATATATAAAAACATTTATTCTGCTTTGTATTCCCTCTTACCTTTCCCATGTACAGGTTGGTGTACTGGGTGATGAAGAAGAGTGGGTGAGACTTTGTGAGGTGGAGAATGAACCTGATGCTCAGATGCTGGAGGTACCAAACCTTACTCCATACACTCATTACAGGTAAGAACAGCAGGTAATTAGCTGCAGCATGAAAAAAAAAATAGTAAGTAGCAATGTGGAACAGCTTTCCTAATGGGAAACATCTGGCTGTGTTTTATAATCTGATCAAAAGGGAAAATGTTTGCTCTTTTCATAGTTTGTGCTTAAAATTACTCGCTTGATATTGTTAAATGTAATTTACATACAGTGCAGTTCATAACATTAAAAAGGAAATCCAAGTGCACAGTGAAAGGCTTTTAAGAGTAACTAATACCTTGTGACTTCCCTCATCTAAAGGGTGCACCAGTGTAACATCAGTCAGTGACAAATCAATTGTAGTTAAACTGATGCAAACTTGTAATTACATATTTACATCAGTTTAAACATTGTTTCATCGATTTAGCTTAATTTGCTTACATCAGTTAGATGAAACCTTTGTTTATAAGAATTTACCAAGTTAAACTTAATAGACATATGCAATGCTTAAACTGATTGAAGTGAATCTACATTATGGGTACACCCCAGTTAAACGAGATTGATTTTTAAATCAATTTAATTGAAATGATGCGTTGCTTCAATATAGACAAGATTTGAGAATTTGAGGTACTCAATCCTAATGAAAAATACTTCCATGAAGTAGCTTGCTAATGTAAAGGCTGGTTCCAAGGACATATAGTGGCAAGTGGTAAATCAGCTTACTAGAAGCTTGTCCATTTTGTGCTGGCTGAAGGGGCTGTTAGGTAGCCCATGTGCTGTTGTGAGCTAGTAGTAGATGCAACCAAGTAAAGCTCATAGAATTTACAACTAATTCAGTGCTAGTGCATTAATTTTCTTCTCCTTAGTCAGAAGCCTAGGAATATATTGAATTTCTCACAAACTCTCCAGTGAAGAGTTTTACTTCATCCTCAAGAGCTAAACATTTGCTGAAAGCTTTTTGAAAGTTTTTGAACTTGAGCAGAGATTGCTAGTGCAGAAGTTTAGGAAAATTACCTTCAGGTTGAGATTTTCCTCTCCTCATAAAGGTGGATCCTAAAAGCTGAAAAGGCATAGGTGAGGAGTGAAGTGCAGGTTGTACCAGAGTTCAGCATTCACTGTCCACAAGAAAGACTTGCACATCTAGCAGGTGTATGGAGAAATGACTTTGGGATAAAAAAATAATGAAGTATATGAGGAATTTGGGATGGTTGGATTTTTTTCTACTGTGAAATGTTTTCATTTATTTTACTGCTACATCTCATTTCTCTTTAGTATCCATTGAATTCTGGAGTGATCCCAGTTATGCTGGGGTCTTACTTCTAGTTCTCCTCTATTTTTTTTTTTCCTTGTAAAGCAGCTAATTGAATTTTGCCTAGTTTTTTTTCCCCTTCTGTTATGTGTGCACAAAGATGAGCTTTTTTTAGCTCTGTTTCAGCGTAGAGCAATTTTATATAATTTTTTTTAAACCTAGAAAGTTGTTGCCAAATGGACTTGTTGTCCTCTGGTCAGCTTTAGTCATTGCTTACTGAGGAAATTCATCATGAGAGCTAATTATCAGGCCACATCTTTATCAGCCAGCTTCTTTTCTGTGTTTTATGCCAATGTTTGAGAGTAGAATCAAGGACAGTATTTATTTAAAGTGTTTCCTTTAATGCATTTTCAAGGAAGATCAGAGCAGATAAAGAAACACTGCTGTGTTGACTAGCTCACCTTTCTCCCAAGCTCAGTCATTAGGTCCAAAAATTGTTTAGCATGAACAGGTCATATATTTATGTGCAAGTGCTGGATGCCTCTAATTGCTTGTGAGGGATGAGAGTATCTGAAATGTACAGCACGTCTTAATTATTTTGTGCTTCCTGAAAAAAAAAGATTTCTCTAAATCTTCTGTGACCCAATAGGGATTTCTATTGTAGGAGAGATGGTTTCAAGCAGACAGGGTATTTTTTAAAGACGCATATCCATATTAAATAACTTAATCTTTCCTGTGCAGGAAGGCTGAAAATGCAGCACAAGGATAAATCAGCTTCTTTCATCCAGTAATTGAGGGGAAATGTTATCACTAGTATATTTTTTATATTGACGGGGAATGAGTATATCTGAAGTTTGATATTTTAATACCTTTCTGAATGTATTGTACAAGCGTTGCAAGAGAAAATCACTTACTGCTCGCATAAGCTCATCAGGCTCGGTATAATTAACATAATTTTCTCCACACAAATACCTAAGTTTCAAATAGACCCTAAGCTAATCTCATTTTCATTTTTTTAATACCTGAGAGCATCGGAAAGCAGTTCCCATAAAGCATTCAGCAGCCAATCCAAAGGGGACCCGCGCGCAGCGACCTTGTGCAGCGCTTAGAGAGACCCGATTTGTGTTCTTGCCTCTCTTCCCCCTGGGGAGGGAGGGGTAGCGCCGGCCGGGCTGTCCCAGCAGGCCCTGCGTGCTGTCCCCCCGCAGGTTCCGCATGCGGCAGGTGAACGTGGTGGGGCCCAGCCCGCTGAGCCAGCCCTC